AATAATTGGCTCAAGAAAACTTCTAAGGTACAGGTCAAAAATTCTGCATGACTTGCCACGTAGGCATGAAATGTGAAATTACTTATCTTTTTCAGCAGTTCCTAAAAAAAGTTTAATCAACTGTAGTTTTAGAAATTATACAGTTGTTATATGACTTACATATTATTTATTTAATTGCTAAGACTGGTTAAATGTCAAGAACTAAGTTTTTGATGTCTTACCATTTTGAGCATTATGGGAATAACAAAAATGGAAAGTATAATACCCAGGATAAAATAGACCTCCATAAATATTTTAAAAGTATATGAAAATAGAGAAGAATAAATCAATGAATGAACAAATGACTTTAGGTAATACAAACAACAAAAACCCCAGAAGTCTGAAGTGCTGACAACCTGGGACATACAAATACATTTTTTCTGAGATGTTCAGTGAAGTATGTGGTTATTAAAATAAAAGTCATATAAGCAAAAAGCAAAATAATGCCTTGTGAGGTGAGATGGGTGAGTGTGGCTATGGACAAAGTTTTAGTTTTGCTACTTTAATTCTGCTACTATTTTCTTCAGGTTTGCTGGTTTGCTGCTAAGGTGCTATGGAGCTTTGGCAGAGTTTGCTATGTGCTGATTCCTCATGTTTGCATGTGGAAAATGACCCTTCTCCTACTCCATCTCTAAGGCTAGCATCATTCTGCACAGATCCAAGCATCAGGTTCAAATCCAGAATCCCAGTTTAAAGGACTGGTATCTGTCACATTATGTTGTCTGAGAAGCTGCTCCCTTGCTGTGATCCTGAGCCCTGTGGGTGTGTGGGCTGGCACAGGAATGGTGCCTCCAAGGCCATGCTACCTGTTGTGCAGGTCCACTGTGGCTTCCCAGACCCTCCACACAGTCTGATAAGTGCCTGGCATCGCCTCTCATCAGCTCTTCTAAGTAAGATGGGTTTACTCTCATGACAGCCCAGCTGTCATAGTCAAGGAGCTCAGGACAGTTTAGGATTTTATGTTGACTCTTTGAGCATGAACACAGTTGCAGAGCAGATTTCTCTAAACCCATCATGAATATATCAGGATCCCCTGGACAGAGTTATCTGTGACTCTCTAGTGCAGTGTTTCTCAAACATGATGAGAGAATTAAATCTTCAGGAAGATGTGAATGAGTGTGGGTGAGTGTGCATGCATATGTGTGTGTGTGTGTGTGTGTGTGTGTGTGTGTGAATGAGATTAAGTTTTCACATTAAGTTCCCAGGTTGATCTTGATCCACAGTCTTTTATCTCCTGTCCCTTAAGAGCCTTAGTTTTACATAATTTTTATGCACACATTCAAGGATTTACACTTCTAGACTTCTCTCACTAAAGAAGCCCTTGGTTCCCCATGCAGTCATTATATATGGCAAAATTATATATAAAATTAGTGATTCTAAGAGAGACAAAAAAGAAAGGATAAATTAGGTATTTTAAGGTCCTAAATGACCACCTTTTCAAATCAAAACCTGTCAAATGTATGTTCCCGTTTATGGGAGAACATGCGATTTTCTTCCCTCCCCTTTATCAGAAACAGCCCCAGCAATGAGCTTTGGATTTCTGTGTGTCCCAAAGCCCAGTACAAAGATCTAAGGGACACTTTCACACTCTTTTCAGATGTATGCATGGGTTTCTTAGTGTTGGTGCAGGGCTGCTCTTCTAGCTTTTTCTCTGCTCTCTAGCTTTTTCTTTTTCTTCCTCTTTCCAGATCTCTGTGTTACCACACAGCTTCACTAGATCTAAAAGAATCACATCTTTCACCAGAGGAGATGCATAAACCCCCAGGAAGCTTTCTGATACTGCAAAGTGACACAAGTGGTTCCAATTGTTACTAGAATAATCCCTCCTGAGGTTCCTCTCAGACAGTCTGAATCAAGGAAGACTGGGGAACTTCTGCACAATTTGGATCGGATTGGGGGCTGTTTATAAAAGGGTTGTCATCTCTGGTCTTCAAATAGTCTCAAGATAATAACTGTAATTTAGCCTTCCCTTGCCTCATACATAGATAGCAACCACCGCTTAAACTCAGTGAGGTTGCTCTGCAGAGAACGCAGACAGCATCTCTGTGTAATTAAAGATCCAGCTGCAAGAATTTGCTCATCAGAAATTCAAAGAATCCTAGAGACCAGTCCCTGTTCATGTTCCTCGCCCCCCACCTACATCCTTCCTTGTTTCCTCCTCTTTCCCGCCTTTTCTGGCTTTATAATTCATCTCGGAAACTGCAATAGAAAAACTGCACAACCTCTGACTGTGCCACTTGTTACACTGTGTGCTTGTTTAAGGTGCATCATCATGGTCTTAACCCAGGGCACTAATAAATGTGGCCTGAATTAATGAACATTTTCTTTCCCCATACCAGTGCTGGCAAGACCAGTACCTCTGTGCAAATATGTCTTGCTTCTTAAAATCCTGAACCTTATTTCAAATTATGCTTTCTCAGTTCAGTGAGGGTCATTTTATTCTTCAGCAAGAAATCACAATAGCATGTTCCATATTTATATCAACAATGAGAACAAAGACAAATCAGTGGGGAGATACTGTTCTTGATAAGTCAGTGGTGGAGGTGAAAGGGCAGGTGAGAACAATTAGTTTTTAGCAGAGGAATGGTTAAGATCTCAAGCTGTGCAGTGCATACTATGGAGGCTGAAATCCTAGCTTCCAACATTGACTGATGAATGTGGGTAGCATTTCTTTATCTTTGCAACAGAGTCCATGGACTCATGGAGATGTTGGTTTGATTTTACAAATTAGCCCTCACTATTCAGTGCTCAGAGGAATCTGTCTTCAGTAAGGCTCAATAAAGGCCATACTAGCTTGCTTCCTAGCACATCATGTTGGCCATACTAGCATACTTCCTTCAAATACAGATACAAATTACAGGGCATCAAAAGGGCAACTTCATTTCTTTTCCATCATTAGTGGCAAAGATCAGACAGGAACCTAGAATCTTGAGTTTGTATGAAAAAACTTTCATGAATGAAGATTGAGTTAAATTTTTAGAAATCTAGAGCATGAAGTAAATATATTGTGTATTATTCAGTGGTAGGTCGCAGTATGTAATCCCCAGATCAGCAACATTGGCTTCAAGGTCACTGTCATTGATACCAGTTTCCATAAACTTGATAGAAGTGTGAATTCTGGGACACTCCAACCCCAGCTACTCAGACAGAAACTATGGGGCTGTGTCCTGGTAGTCTGTTGTAGAGAGGGCTCCAAGTGATCTTTGTGTATGCCGAAGACTGAGGATTCCTGCCCTGGACAGAGGCTAAGTGGCACTAATTATCTCATTTAAACCTCACGAACTGTCCAAGATACAGTACATAATACCATCATCATAAATTTCCTGTGTATGATTGCTTCAGGCATGCTGGGCAAGTCTTCTAGCATTGAGCTACATCTTCAACCCCACCACTTTATATATGAGGAAGCCAATGTTCTACAAAAAAGAGTCAAGATCTCTAACACTGCATGGTAACTAGGAGAAAACTGGAATTCAAATCTACATCTGCCTGATTCCAGAAGCCAGACTTCTAAGGCTATTGTCCCTTGCCTCATCATCAAACACAAGAGTCGGAAATGGTCTTCTTCTAAGGAGCTCAGATGTGCTGACCTGTTACTTCAGCCCAAATGAGGCTGCTCCTCCTCTTCACCATTTAAGATGCTGGCCATCACATCCCTTCACTCAAATCATGTGATCTGGGGAAGAGGATGTTAAAATAACTACTTTTGTTGTACTTGACAGTGAAAATTTGCATTTTTATAGAGAATGATCATATAAATACCCAGTTTCTGCAGGATCCAGGCCCCTGTAGCTTAGGGCACTTTTTTACTACTCCAAATTTGGGATTGAATAATTTTTTGATCACTGGGCTTTTCAGGTGCATAGTACTTACTTCTAAATCACCCAAGAGACACAAAAATATAGTTAATTTCAATTTCCATAACTAAGTGAAGCTCCGGGGTTCAAACAGAATTATTTATAGCCAGACACAGTTAAAATAACATGAAGACCCAAAATAAAGAGGCACTGAAGCGGAGGCCCCAGAGCTCAGACCCATCCTACCAGTTAGTCTAACAGGAATGAGGGGGCCCAGGGCATACTCTGCCTTCTCCTGACCAGACTGTCATCTCCATGGAGGAGCCCCGGGTAATCATGACTACAGAGGAAAAAGAAAACAGCCTGTTGCTAGACACAGGAGCAAGTCTTTTGTTCCTTCTTTTCAATCCTGGCCTTCTTTCCAGCCATCACACCTCAGTGAAAGGAGTCACTGGTGAGGAGGTAATACGCTATTTTTCATAACCCTTAAGCTGTAACTACTTGTTAGATCTTTCTTGCGTATCTCTGTCTTCCTGAGAAACCATTTTGAAGATACCACCATATATTACAGCAGCCATTGATATTTTCCTACTAATCTGTCCATAACTCTGTAGTGTTTGTATTGTTCCTATGCTATTTCATAAATGGATATATGCTTATTACTATGTGTTTCCTACAACAACCATTGAGAATAGTCAATGAATATTCAATTGGTCACTCATGTACAGCTCTATTTATTTTCTTTAGAAACCACTTTGAAGATACCAAAGTATAGTGCAACAACCATCAATAATAACCTATCACTTTTGTCTGTAGCTCACTGTCATTTGTCTATTTGTTTTCCTGAGAAACTATCTTGTAGATAACAATGTGTAAAACAACCACCATTGATAATTTCCTACCATTTTGTCTGTAATTTGGTAAGCCCCCCTATTACTATTTATCCTTCTTTTACTCTTTAAAATTAAAAAAAAAAAGAAAGAGGCAATTCTCTGGTGGACATCCATAGATATCCTTCAAGGTGCTTTCCAAAAAATACCAGGTGCTCTGTGGATCTGCACCAACTGGAATCTGGTGGTGCAGATCCCAGTACAGTGTCTGAGTTTAAGTGGTTATGTATCTCACTTTATTGTACCTCCTCTCCATCAATCTTATTTGCCATCATTAAGTTTCAGGTTACCATAGGAACAGAATGGATTATAAACTTACAGGACAGCAATTTGTACAAGATGCTGTTGATGCTGTTAAAGTGTAAGTAGGTAATAATTTTTAAAACTAGAATTGGGTATATTTAAGAAGGCTTTTCTCCTTAGCTCACACATCTACAAAATGACCTCACTACCAAGACATAATTCAGAAAGGTTAGAATATTAAGTACTCTTCCCTGCTTCCCTTTCCTTGTTTTATCCAGCACGAACAAACAGGGCAAGAGAGAGATGGGAAAAAGACGAAAATCTACCATTGATCCTCTGAGAGCGAAAGCCCATGTCATGTACCTGAGCTACATTTTGTCCATCCTCTTTGATAAATCATCATATATCTTATATCACATATCCAACAAATCTTTTTGCAATGGGGATTACATCATATCTTTGAAATTATTTTAAGTCAAATCACAAAAATTGCTTCCTTTGAAATGAATGATCATGTGAATGTCAAACAGCAGGTATTCCACATGCTGGAAAAATATTAATTAGCATATATATGAATATTCTCTAGAATGTAAACAAAAGTGCAATTTTGCCATTGCATATGGGTTTGTAGTTAAGAGGACAGAGGGGACCAAGGAAAACTTACATGAAGATGTTGGTACAAAAGGGATCAGGTGGGCCTTAGAAAAGCACAAGGATCCCTGTCATGATGGAGTTAGCATACAGAAGAGAGAGGCACTGAGCTACTATGTGAATTCAGACTGGTGCCTCCACTGGACCACTGAGGTCACTGGAAATCTAGAGCAGATGTCTGGTCCAGAGGTCAGGCCATCCTAGTACACTCTACAGCTCCTGAGTGACACAGGAAAGCTCAGAATTCTGCTTTCTTTTGAGGACCACTGACAATTTAGGATCAAGGTCCTGGGAAGAAAGAATCCCGCTCAGTCCTGCTCTGCTCACCATCAGTTATTAAGAGCCACCCAGAGCACTGACTTGCACTCTTGCAAGTGTGGCATTGGACGGGCTTCCTGAAGGCAACCCTGTCTGAAGGTCACCCAGCTCCTCTAACACTGACATACAATACTATTGTTGGGTCAGGGTGTGGGGCACATACTCTAGCCCAATAACTTCTGAGGATGAGAAGGCACTTAGGCACAAAGAGCTGAAGAACATTTCTAAACAGCTACATTTTTCACTCTTCAGAATGCCTACGCAACAACAAAGGTGCTGAGTGAAAACTCAAATATTAAATCCCCCGATTAGCTAGTCCACACAGTTACTGGTCAATTGACTGGATTGATGTCCTGCTTCCCAACTGAATTAGCTAATCTTTTGACTAAGCTAATTTAATTATTTAGTTTATGTAGACTTCCCTTCAGAAAAATCATTAAAAAGCCAGAAACTCATTTTAGAGGTTGCTAAGTAATTCAAAATAATTTCTACCCCTAAAACCCATTTCTTTTTATGTTGTGGCCATAATGGGTAAAAAAAATGCTCTTTTTAAAAAATTCAATTCTCTTACTTCAGGAGGTAAAAGACACAGACTACCATGTTTTCATTACTGATTTAAGAAGACAGTAAAAGACTCAACAGATATCAATTACTGAATTATAAAGTATGAAGTATAAGTTAAAGAAACTATATTCTGTTTCCAAAGTAATGTGGAAAACCACACACTAGGAAAATTACTTGCTAAATTGCATATACAAGAGCAATTGCACACAGTTATCAATCATTTATTTATAAATTATTTATCTATATTTTTAAGAGATTATTCACATAGAAGAAAAAAAAATCAAGACTTCTGAAGTTAAATGTTGAAAGTACACAGGAAGAAAGTGTAAATAAAATAAGAATGAGTTACCAGCATTGGGAAATGATAGGTTTGTGCCATTTGTTCTCTCTATCCCAAATAAAACGCTGGCATGAACATGGAGGAGTTGATTGGACTCTGCTGTCTTGCAGGACAGACCCACAAAGACTTGGGTAGGCCCACTAACCTTGCTTTTGTGTTTCCACATGCTTATTTACTTTACTGTGAGGCTAACCTTCAGCATTCAAGCTTGGATGCCCGATTTTGGAGACACTCCCTAAGTGCCACATGGCACACCCCAGGGCAGCTGTGATGCTCACATTCAGCCTCCACCCTTCATGCTGGGGTGGTGGGCTGGGGCTCTTTGGCCATCAGTTTCCCACCTTGGCCTGAGAGGATCTTATCTAAAGTCAGAGGGTAGAGACCATGTACCAATGACCAGGGAAATGCAGGCTCACAAATTCAGGACAGGGTTTTACTTAAGAATTTATAAAAACTTCATTTAATCAGCAGTCTTGTTAGGGTTAGCTACAGCTGAGGCACCTAGGAACTGGTAAGTGCTAATATTCTTATGTTGTTATATCTTATTCTATTATGTTATAGCAATGTGACAATATAGATCAAGAGTCATAGTCCTGTTTATATTGCTCAAGGCTGTAAGTAATTCAGTGAAAATATACATATAATCATGCCCTCTGCATGGTTAACATGTTAAAAAACAAAAAAGGAAAAACCATAATATGGAATAATTAGACTAATTATAGCATGTTAACTAGGTGAGATATTATTTAGCTATCAAAAATACACTGATTGTTCATTGTAACATGAGAACTATCAAAGAGCAGGCACAATAACTGGATGGAAGTGGTCAGTTTAAGGTGAGTACAACACAGTGTGTGTACACATGCATGCATATAGAGTATGTGCAAATTTGCCTACTCCCCCAAATGTACTTGTAATGCCAAAATTAACATTCATGGAGCTTACACAGTGATTGACAATCACGAACAAGGTAGTGAAAAATTTGACTTGTTTTAATTGCAATTTTCAGTGAAGACCAAATAAGGTGACATTCTGCCTTGTTTCTGCTTTCATACTGTAAATCTTGTTCAACGGCTACTTAGCACCATGTTTTCTCACTTTTGTGGGTTTTTATGTTGGTGATTTTGCTATTTAATACTGTCCCTAGTCATAGTGCTGAGGTACTGCACTGTGCTTCCAAGCTGAAGACGTGCCTCAGAAGCACATCTAAATGTGTGCTAAGTAAACTTCAGCCTGTCATGAATTGTATATTAGGCTGTTGGCCCTACATTCTGTGTTAATAAATCAACACCGTATAGATGCTCTTTAACTTAAAATGAAGTTAAGTCTCTGTAAACTGATCATAAGTTGAAAATATAGATCAAAAATGCAGTCAAAACAATTAGCCTGTTATGCATTCTGGCTTAGTCTCCCAGTGAGCTGTGGAGATCCCCTGTGATCACGTAGCTGACTGGGAGCTATGACTTGCTGCTGCTGACCAGTGTCACAAAACAATCACACTGTACTTCCCTAGTCTGGGAAAAGATCCAGACTCAAGATCTGAAGTGTAGTTTCTACGGAATGTATGTCTCCTTTATATCACTGTGTAGCTGAAAAATTGTCAGTAGGATTACCATAAATTATGGGCCACCTTTTATTAAATAACTCCAAGTAAAAGCACATATACAGCAAAGCTTATGTAATGATCAGTTGATAAAAACGTGGCCAGGATTTACAGAAGCTTAATCCTATATTTCCACTAGGAGCAGTGGGTCAGTATTTGCTAATTCAGTGTTTGCAGTGACTTTATCAAATATAACTACTATAAGTAATGGCTCAACTGAGTATCTATACAGATGCATATATGTGCATCCTTCCATCTATCATATCATCTATCTTTCTATCTATCTCTAAGAACTATGAGAGAATAGTGTACAAAAATACATAAATTGTAATCATATGGTTTTAGGGATGATTTAATTTTCCTCTTAGAATTTCAAAAATGTTTTCATACCATTGCTCCTATCATGAAAACATTTAAAATGGACAAAAGCCAAAGAAACCCTAAAGATTAATAGCAGGGTTCTCTGGCCATGTGCATAGTTCCTTCAGAACCAGTGGCCTTAATACTTCTGTCAAAGCAGGTTGCCTAGCATGTGTCCTTCATGCTTGTTTTCTGGACAGCTGCCTGATCTCTCAACGTCTTACTTGGCTGGTTCTACAAGGAAGGAAGGATAACATCAAGCCATGAACAAATGTATAAATTAAAATCTTATAGTAAGTTTCTCAGTGAGATATTCCAATCCTGTTAGGCTTCTAGCACTGCAGGCTTTCACTGTCTCCTGTGAACTGCCACCTGGTGCCACCGACTGAATTATGTCTGTGGCAAGTTCATATACTGAAGCCCCATGTAACTGTCTAGTAGAGCCTTTAAGGAAATGATTCCAATTAAATAAGGACATAAGGTAAAGCCTGATCCAAGAGAATCGTTGTCCTTAAAAGTGAAAAAGCCATCAGAGCTTTTCTTCTGCCACATGAGCACACAATGTGATTATGGCCATCTGCAAACCAGGAAGAGAGCTCTTACTAGAAACCCAATTGTGCTGGCACCCTGATCTCACACCTCCAGTCCCCAAACTTTGAGAATCTAAATTTCTGTTGGTTAAACCACCCAGTGTAGGGCATTTCGTTACAGCAATCTGAGCTGCTTTTTCTGACTCAGTCTCCTTGTCCTAAGGCTCTCCACCATGCTGCCTGAAGGGTCTGAGTCCAGCTTCCTCCCAGGCTGGTGCTTCCTTCTAATGAAAGGCACAGCTCTGGCCAGGCTGCCCTTTCTGGGTAGCTGCCATCCTCCTTCCAGATCAAAGTGGCAAAGGGTCCTGTGCTCTCTTTTGTGTTTTCCCTGAAATCTCACCTTTGTTGTTAACCCTATATGCACATCTGTTTCTATCACACAATTTCAGTGTCTCACAATCCAAGACACTGACAGGATCTAAGAAAACATGGGAATTGCCAAAATGCCTTGCTGCAATGATAGGGACACAGAGATCCAGCGAACTGTTAACATCACTCTTCCTTCAGATCACCCATCACTGCACAGGGGCCAGCATGGGCAGTAGCTGCTGCCTTGGGGGTGCAGTTCAACTTGTGATGACAATCCCAATGTGAGGATACAAATGAAACCCCCTTTAGTCTGCCTAGAGCAAAACCTATTAATATTACGTTTCTCCTCCCATACTCTATGAACCAGACCTTCTGTAATCTCTGATTCCACTTTTATTTTTACCATGTCTTCTTCTCCATCTTGGTTCCATTTGCTGAAAAGTCTTCATTGTGTAGGGGTCAGGAAAGGGGTGCCAGGGGAGTGCTTGTTTAGAAGTGATTGCCTAGCAACTCACTCCCTTCCTTATTCCTAGGACAGAGGCTATTTGCATTTTGGGAATGAAGAGGAAGAAAAAAGTCTCACTTCTCATGAGCCCTGGGGTGAAAATGTCTTGCTGACTACTCCTCAAAGGGACCTTCCTTCCTCTGAGAACTGCCCCTGGGTGGTCAGCAGGCACCCGCTTCTGGGAGAGCCCTTTCCAAGGTGCTCCTGGAGCTGTCTGGGGCAGTGAGTGCCGCTGGGCACTGCCAAACTGCAGCCCCAGGCAGCACCAGGACAGGGCTCAGAACATCCTGATCTTATTCAAGTGGGCACTGCTTTCCCACACTGTTCTTTCCTTTTGCAGCTTTCTTCCCTGGATATGGGCCACAAATAGGGGCTGTCTAGGCCTGCTGCCCTTAACTCCCAAGCTGCCAGCAAGTTCCTTGCACCACGGAGGGAGAGCAGAAGCCAGCAGGGACAATGGAAGAGCAGCAGAGAGAAACCTACTCTGGATGTTCTTAGTTGACCTCAGGAGGTGAGAAACAAGGGAAGAGAGACCATTCTTGGACTCATCTGTGAAATGGGCGTGGGTTGATGTATGGAAAAAAAGTCGCTATTTCAAAATGCAGTATTGTGGCCTCAAACATGTCACCATCCTCCATCTCCCTGCTGGGATAACAAAGGGCAATGGTTCCCTTCAAGTGAGATGTGGAGAATGTAAGACTGAAGTCCTTCTCGGTTTATACCTCAAAGTAGCAAAGAAAACTCTTGGGTTATGTAACTCTACAGTGGGGAAAACCTTTAATCTTCAGCAGCTCTAAAGTGCCATCTACAAAGCTAAGATCTGTGAACATTCCATTGACAGTATTTAACTTTGCCTACTAGGAGGAGCACCAGGCACGTACCCCTAGGTGTACTACTTGATGAAGATCAGGTCACAGTTTTGGTCCCATCGGTTCATCCACCAGCTTTCCATGTTGGGATATCTGCCAGGAGGAGAAGCCTGGCTAGGCTGACCAGGCTGATCTGTGCAGTCAGCCTGATCAGCCACTAGGCTAACAGCAGACTGACCTGTGCTTAGGAGGAAATAATCGGGTTGTACATACCCTTTCAATCCTTTGTCACTCTGTGTATGTCCAGATGCACATATATCTGGAACAAAAACAAATTCATGAAAATCTGGCTGATAAATAAATAGATTTCTTTGAGTAATATAGGGTTATTACTCTGAAAGGAGAAAGATGGAAGATGATAACAATATTTAATGCTCTTCCCTGTAAGGCCAGGAGATAAAATGTATCCAGAAGAAAATCCTGGGTGATTCATAGGAGTTACTTACACATGGAGACAAAGAAATAAATTTCGATAAGAACTATTAAGGAAAAAATATCCATCTGCAGTGGAACATAATTATAACTTTGTTCCCTTTCTCTGTCTTTTCCTGCCTTTCTTTTCTTTTCTTTTCTTTTCTTTTCTTTTCTTTTCTTTTCTTTTCTTTTCTTTTCTTTTCTTCTTTGTCTCTTTCTCTTGCTTTTTCTTTTTTGTTCTTTCTTTGTTTCTTTGTTTGTTTGTTTCTTTCTTTCTCTCTTTCCTAGTTTTGTAAATTTTCTGAGAATTGACCTTCAGTCTTCTCTGTCAGGAAAGGATTTGTATTTAATTCAGTAGAACTAAGAATGGAGCTTAGAATTTCAGAGTTGAAGGATTTTGAAAGTCATCTGGCCCCGTAAACACTGCCCTCATTTCACCATCGAAGCCATACTGAGGTCTGGGCTATTCATGTTTGCTCTGACCGCGTATAGATCTCATGGGGGGCACTTCATGCACAGAAATCCCGACTGCGGCACTTTGGGTTCATAAAAAAAGTGGTTGACCTTATCAATAATGGGAGTACTGCACTCGTGAGCAGCTCAACTGTTTCTCAGTTGAGAAGCAAGGGGCTCCAGGAGACCGCCATAATCCTTTGCATTTCAGCAGGAGGACTTAAGGACCCATGGATGTTCCAGAGCTGAATGAGCCACCAAGAAAGACCGTTCTGGCCAAATGTGACCTTGAGTGAATGTTCCCTCTGTGGCTAAGTTGGATTTGGCTGACAGCTGGAAGAATAATGAAGCAGTCATCTGGTAAGAGGTTGAATCAAACATTCTCTAAGTTTCCTTGTTCTGCTTACCATTACTCAATTTTTCTCTTAACTACTGCCACTTAATTACTCACAGTCAGTTGTGCTTCAAAGCCATGAACAATTTGGGTATTTTCTTCTCTGGGACATGGGGAAACAGTTGGGCATAGTCTTTAAACTACTTAAATACCTATGTCATAAATACAATGAGACATTCTGCTTCACACAGTTTAGAGTAGTCCATGCACACACAATCAATGCCTTTGAAAAACTCCTGTGAAGCTTGGCAAGTTTGAAAGAAGCAAGGAGAACATGGAATGTGTGCTGCTTGGAGAGCACAATTAGAACCATAGTTGTTTTTGGAAGCAGAGTGTTCATGCTTCTCTGTGCACAGAGCACCAAGATCTGGTCACATCCTGTCTGTTTAGGCTAAAATAAATTTATAGAAATGAGAAAATGGTTGAATCAAACATTCTCTAGGTTTCCTTGCTCTGCTTACCATTACTCAATTTTTCTTATTTCAATTGTCAGGTTAAAGACGGTGGAATCTTTGCATGATGAGGATCTTGAGATGTTATCTAAAACATATACAATCTTAAAAATAGGATCCCCTAACTAAAGAAAATAAAAGTGCATTGTATCAGTATGAATTTGTCTCTAAGACTTCAAATGCGTAGCATTTACGTAGTATAAAGACTAAACCACCAAAACACATCAAAGTTTTGTTACTGGCCAATGTTATGGCTTATGTCTAGATGCTCCCCCTGCCAAAGCTTCATGTGATCACAGATGGAGCGTTTTCAGAGGTGGCTGAACCTTCAGTGTGTGATTGATTCATGGTGCAATGCTAGGATTAAGGTGCTAGGATTAAGGGTGGGTGATTACTAAATCAATCCAATGATTGGGCTGACATCACTCTAATCCTAGTAGCCTGGATATATATAAGGGACAGAAACAGGCTTGCCCCTCCATTGCTTTGTTACCTTCTGCCCCTAGTTGCCTTGATGATTATAATACACATCAGCAGAGAAGATTGAATCCATTGTTTACAGAACCAAACGCTGAAGTCACCTCAAAGAAGCACTAGATTCTGTGGAAGACAATTTGTAAAACACAGAGTCCTTTCTATGGTATCATGGAAAGCCCATATTTAGTCATTTCCCTTTAGGGACAAGGAATGCATTTCTTGGCAAAGTAGCCCACATCACAGCTCTCATTTTTAGACAGTTTCTCTTTATACTGCATCAGATCTGTAATCCCATTTCTGGTCTCTGAAACCACATCTGTGTGGCAGAAGGCAGCTACTGTGTTTATGCGTATGTCTTCTTCTCTCCAGTGTCCCTCAACTTTACTGCCTATGCCCTGGTAACAGGCTTCTTGCTCACACTCTTCTGAATATTTTCTTCCTTGGTAAAGATAGCCTTGAAATATAGATGTCTTTAAATTACCTTAAACTTATTATTCATCCAACTGAACTCCTGGTCTCCTGCTACTGTAGTGCAGATCCAGGTTGTAGAATGATACACAACTGCTCAGGCATACTGGTCAGAAATCTCTTTCATGTCTTTTATATGTCTCTCTCTTGTGCTTTTTTCAATGTCCAATCCACTGCCAGATCCTGCAACATTGCCTCCTGAGTAGCTCATAAATTTCTTTACTGTGTGGTCTTCATTATGGTCATATTCATCCATTATGTCATTATCTCCTTCCTCGGCACCTGCAGAAACTCTTCAGTCCATCTGCTTACAGCTACTACAACCACTCAGCATTCCAAAACTTCGCCTCTTCCTTAAAGCTTTTGGTGACACCTGTTGCCTTCATGAGAGTAAAGAATGCTTGTCAGCAGGGCTGACAAAGTGCATGTCTCTTTCTCATTTTCCAGGTGGATTTTGCCTCAAATACTCTGTCCCATCGTACTTGCTGTCTCTCCTTTCCTTCATCACGCTCTGCCTCTCCTGACACAGGCTCTTGCTACCCAATAGTACCTCTGCCTGAAGGCAACTGTCCCCATCTTCTAACCTGGTAAGGTCAACCTGCAAGACTCAGCTCAAAGGTGATTTCCTCAGTCTTCCCTGAATTCTTAACAACAGGTCAGATTTCCCAGTTATATGCTCCTATAGCTGTCACAATCTTTGGTCCATGCCACTTATCATCATTTTTATTTGGTATATGTGTGTGAGGTTATCTGATCAATGTCTGGCTCTCCAGATAGATCATAGCTCCAGGAGGCAGAGATATGTTCACCCCACCCCCATGCTCAGCTCAGAAAGTGCTCATGCTTAGAAATATTTGTTGTGCAATTATCTGTTTAATTCCTACTTTTATTCTCTCTGCTCAATGAAAAGATTGAAATCTAGGATAGAACAAATACGGTAAAAGGACTCTTTAAATGGAAAGCTCACTTATTTTAAAAGACTGTACGTCTGCAGGCATGGCTGAGTAATGAACAGCCTTCTTCTCCAGAAAATGCAAGTTTTGTATTTATGCAGACAGTACGAATGAGGGGAAAGGATAAAGTAAACACAATAGACAAGGTGGACCATGACTAACATACATTTTAAAAGAAAGTGAAAAACCAGGATTCAGAAACAATTGATAAACTTGATCTTTGTTCCAGACTTAATTTTAGCACTAACTGCATAAAGATGGTTTCAGGACACAGGAAAAGAGGCAGTGATGACCAGGAGCAAGCAACTTCACCAGAGTGAAGTGGCCAGTGGTCACCCAATTCCTTGTAGACAAGCTTGTTGGATGAGACATGGGATGGCCTTGGGCAGGGAGTGTACTGATTTCAGCCAGGCTCTCAGCACATCTTCTGTAATATTCTCCAGAGGTGGAGAAATGTGGGCCAAACTCACAGCTAATCAAAACTAGCATGTGTATGCCCTGCTCAGCATCACCCAGGCTAGTGTTGATTCTAGCTAATGCTATTGATTTCTGAGATGTCTTCTTTATATGTTCATATTAAATTATAATAATGATAGCTGACAAAGTGCACACTATGAGGTAAGTGTTGCTTAAGGTCACTTAATTCTTAACATGTCTCTTTAAGTATTACAGAGTATTTAAGTACTGTCATTATAGTCACTTAAAAGCTGGCAAAATCAGGTCTTGAGAGGTTAGGTAGCTTGTTCAAGGTCACACAGTAAGAGATAGAGCTGGGATTTGAACCCAGGAAGTCTGGCTCAGAGTTCGCGCTCTTTATATTATCATTCTACCCACCTCTGTGCCTCTGACGTTCTGGATGCTCTTAGTCAGCATGGGCTTATTACACCTGCCTGAAGAGCACCGTGTGCTATTTAGCAATACACTACACTGGGAAGCGCTTACTTGTAATGAACAGACTCCAAGAGTTCCATAGATTGGTTTCATGAGAGTTCTGTAAATCTAGTGTACCTCTAATTTTCCTAATTTCTAACAAAAAATTAGCATTTTCCTCAATTATTTAAGTAGGCAACAAGTCATGGTAGTAAAAGCAGAATCTGTGACATTGTTATCTATAGAAATCAGATGTCTTCCTGTCACTTTATTGTCACTGCAAGTATCTCAAAACATCTTTTATGTTCACCACTTTGAAATTAGAACTGCCACCAGATTTCAATATTTAATGTTAAAACAAAAATGTGTTATCATATCACATTTTAACATTTCATAACTCTGCCATGATGTAAGCATTTTCTTTTATGACCATATGTATTTTGTTTTATTTTGTGCATTTAAAATATTACTTGGAGCAAACATCCCTAGGCTTCCTCAGAGTGCTGTGGGGCAGAGACCTGTCTGGCTTTATCCAATTCCAGCCTGTTTGGCAACGTGTGTGGCTTACGGCCTCCTCTGTGATACATTTCATGCTCGGGCAAATAGTTATGACTCAGGTGGCTGACAAATGTGACCAAGTTATGAGGATTCTGGACCAACCACAAAGAGGCAGAGGAAGTATATTGCAGAGTATTAAATTGCACTGCTAGTGATGGTGACAAAAGTAGCCTTGAAGGACTGTGGTAGAAACACAGAATGTGGGAGAGTGGAGCATCAAGGAGCTGGGTGTGTTCTCTGACACTCCTGAGCCCTCACAAACATTCCTCTAGATGGCTAAGGTTGGCGGTGGTGTCTGAAGAGTGGAGCAGAATAATCGAGGCATAACTTTGGGACATGCAGCGAGATTCTAAGTGCGATGAGCAAGGTACTTGCCCTGACAGCAACAGCTTGGGATTATTCCACAAGATCTGAGACAGGACTCATATTCCCGAGGACCCACCTCTGGATTCAAGGATGCTTGAATTCTTGAGAGAGCATCTCTTCAAACACGGAAGGTGGAGCCCAGAGCATGAAGCAAGATTCTGCTCCATTCTTGCTCACCAATGGCAGCAACAGTGGTCGTAATAATCATACACACATACTTTCCACTTTTCGTGGTAGTTTTGTTGATAGTCCCAAGTTGCAGGCACAACATACTTCTTCACCATTTCAGTAGAAGGAAAAGTAAGGCCCAGATAAGTTGATCAAAGTTACACACTGCACGGGCACAGAAGATGAAGGTAGAATCTAGGTTTGTTCTCTGCTGCTCTGTGTTCCTCAGCATATTAACCAGATTTGGCAATATTCCAACATGGGAGAGCTACCAGGTTGTATGGAAGAGCCAAATTCTGTCCTTAAAGCAAAGGGAAGGGTGATTACTGAAGCTCTTTTCCCATCTAAAAGAAGATTGCTCTAAAATCTAAAGTACCCTGTTTGCTATTCCAACCAACACAAATGTAGAACTTTGGTGCATGGTCAGTGACCACCCCTGAGGTACCTACTCCAATCCAGAGAACCCCAGGCAGCCCTTCCCCACTGTCCAGGGAGAGGACAGGCAGAGCCAGAGCTGTGATCTCAGAGAGCACTGGGAGGAAGATCCTGGAATTTTCTTTAGGGAACAGGGGGTCAGATGGCAGCTCTACCTCAGAGACAAGCCACAGCACCTCAGGAAATAGACTTTACTTCTCTGAAATTATTTTCCATGTG